GAATGAGTCACTGGTTACTCTGTGAAGAAAACACAGATGATGCCTTATTTGGAGAGTTGGGAAGCTGCTTGTGTCTCAGGTACTGCTGAATTCACACTAAAATCATAGGTTCTGTTGCATTGTAAACATGCATTACACAGGCTAGGGGTGTGGCTCAGTGGTAGGGCATTTACTCAGCAAGCATGAGGCCTTGCCTTTGATACACAGCATTCCAAAATATATACTACATAATACTATAAAAGGACAGTACCTGCTACAGTTTCACTGTTCTTTCTGTCTGAAACGTTCTTCAGATTCATCTTCCAGTTTATTTTCCTTCTGTAGCAAAGTGATTTTTTCTTAAAGTCCAAACAAAAAATGGAAAGTTGGCTTGCTTTATTTATTTACCTATCTATGCATCTGGAGTTTGATTCTTTCGTTTCCTTTACCTATCCAGCTCCGGTCCATTAGCATCCCATGAGCGGTGCCAAGCACAGCCCAGACCTATCTGCTTCTCAGTGTCTCTACCTCTAATGCCCCTGCTTGGGGTCTCCTTGCTTCTTTCTCCACTTACAATGCTGATCCCCTATTTGCTGTTACACACAGTGTTAATCTGCCCCAACTGCCATCACTGAGCACCAACAGCAGAAATATACTTTCTTACGCTTTGGGAGGCTACAAAGCCAAGATTGTAGTTAGGCTCTGAACCATCAGGACTGGCTTCTGGCGAGCTTCCTCTTCTTATCAATTGCTGTCTTTTCCTTTTTCCCCTTGTGACCTTTGCTTGGTGCAGGAAGAGAGAAAGAGAGAAAAATCTCTCTTGTTTGTTGTCTTCTCATAAGGATATCAGTCCTGGTGAGTTAGGCCCCACCATTTGGACTTCATTTAACCTCATTTACCGGCCTTATACAGTTACATTGGCGGCTGGAGCTTCAACATGTGAACTGAGGAAAGGGGAAAGTACAAAAGAGTTCATAACAGTTACACTGATATTTATTTTTTTTAAATTTTATTTATTTATTTATGTGTGTGTGTGTGTGTGTGTGTGTGTGTGTGTGTGGCCAGCTCAGCCCACCAGGGGGCGGGCCGGCCGGCAAGGGGGGCCGGGGGAGTGAACCGCGGTCCCTGTGCTTTGCTAAGCTTGTTCTAAGTAGGTGCTTTAGACCACTGAGCCATCTCACCAGCCCAATACACTGATATTTAAAAAGCTAAAATCAGGTCATAGTTACTCCTTTGTGAAATCCCCTTATTACTCTGAAAATGAAGTCTAAAGTCCTTGCCCTGACTCACAAAATTCCTCCTGCCATCTCATCAAATGCCACCGTGCCACACACCTTTGGGAGTTGAGGTTCTCATATAATACAATAAATAGGATCATTTAATGCAGAGACCATCATCAGTCCCACTTCCAATAACTATTGATATATAGACAGAAAGCTCCCTGCTGTGGTCCCTTGTGGAAGCAGAAGGAATCCCCACCAAAATCTGGTCCATGTTGATGATGCCATACTCACACCAAGAAGGCATGAAATGTCTACTACTTTTATAAATGAAGGCTTTGGAGAAAACAGGACAGTCTTCCCATGCAACTCTGGCATGCTTGAAGAGAGTAAGTTAAGGTCACTGGGCTGGGTTTCTACTGTGCCTATAAAAGGTACAGAGATAGTGTGACAGTTTGAACCCTAAAGTCTCCAAAAAGCCATGTGCTAAATGTGTGGTGGTATTCTTCAGAGGTGGTGGATCCTTTAGAGGCTAGGGTCTAGTGGGGGAAATGAGGTCATGGGGATGTGGTCTTGAAGGACAGTGGGGACCCTGCTTCCTCCTCTTCATCTTTGCTTCCCACCCACACTAAGGTGATCAGCCTCTCCGTCCTGATACGGCCTCACAGGCAAGAGAGCCCAGTGACTGTGGATTGGAACTTATAACACCATGAGTCAAAATAGCTTTTTTTCCTTATATTCATCTGGTTATTTATTTATTGATTTATTTATTTATGTAGAAGTAAGCATGAACACAGTCCTCATCCACCACAAATGAGGCGGTCAGGTTTCCCACTTGGGGGGAAATTGCTGGGGTCCGACTCTCCAGTGTGCAATGAATGAGCCTCACGCTGGGAAAACCACTTTCTGACTGTAGTAACCCCCCTGTGAGGTAGGTAAGTATTCTCCAGTATCTTGTCTCAGCAACAGAAAGCTGATGAACAGGGGCAGCAAAGGAAGGAGTTTGTATGGATTTAGTTTTCCATCAGCATTAGGAAGGGGGAGTATTCAATCTTCTCATCTGCTTGTCCAACTGTGGGCACAAGAGGAAGGGAAAAAGAGGAGACTTAAAAGCCTTCGGCAACAATAATTAAAAAAAGGAATCAGATTTCTTATTAGTATTTTCTCCTTCTCCTCTTTCTCTTCCTTCTCTTTCTCCTCCTCCTTCTTTTTCAAGAGATCTTGAATATATTTAGTTTTTCCTCTTCTATATAACTTTGTTTTTATTTATTTATTTGTTTTTTTTTTCTTTTGATAAAGGGTCTTGTTACACAGTTTGGACTCCTATGGGGGCCCCACCCTAGAATGACTCATCACTTAAAGGATATAAAAGGAAACTGAAGAAGGATGGGGTGTTCCAGATCCTTAGAGGAGCTCAGGTTTTCCACCACCTTGCAGGTCACTGCCTGGTTCCTAGTGCAGACTCTTTGGCCTCCATCTTGGAGCCTTCAGCCTTCTGGTGTAGACTCAACAGCCTTCTGTTGCAAACTCATTGGCCTCCTGATTTGGACTTGCACAGAACAGTGCAGTGAGCTCCAGACCTTGGGCTGAATCCCTCAGTCTCAGGAGGGCAGATGCCCTCTGCACACTTCCTCATCCAACTCTGTGGCTGACCTTCATAAGCCAATCTTTTAATTTCTCATGTATTTGTACATCTTGTGTTATATCCATTCCTTGTGTTATGTCTGTTCCTCTAGTAAAACACTGATTGATACAAAAGGATATCTTTCCATTTTCTGAAATTCTCTTTTATCTGTTTTCTCAGAGTATTGTAATTTTCATTGTATAGATCCTTTACTTCCTTTGTTAGATTAATTGCTAGGTATTTTAATTTTTTTGCATTCTATTGTGAAGGGCATTGTTTCTCTAATTCCGCTCAGTGGGTTTGTTGTTTCTATAGAGGAATGCTACTGATTTTTGGATGTTGAATTTGTATCCTGCTACTTAGAGAGTTTTTCTTATATAAGAAATATTATATAACATTAAGTATTTCTGAGATTAAGCCCAACTTGGTTATGGTATGTTTTTAAATTATTAACCTATTTTTCTTAATACATTTTTACAGTACATGATTACATTTATCATGGAGAGTTTGTATGTGTACATGACATCTGAAAGTCAAGGATAATTTTGTTTCTTTCTAGGCATTATTTATAATTCTGATTGCTATTTCTTCTCTCAAAGGCCTGGTAATATCCTCTAGTATCTCATTTAAGAGAGATGGTGCTCGTGAGCATCCCATTCTTGTCTGAGTTCTCAAGATGAGTGAATTTCACCATTATAAAGGATATTCATAGGTTTTTGTGAAGACCTTTTTTCAGTTTAAAGAAGTTCCCTTCTAATTTTAGTTTGCTGAATTGTTTATTATGAATGGGGATGAACCTATTAAATGATTTTATGATATTTTAAAAGTTAAACACATTATATATTCCTGAGATTAAACCCAACTTGGATATGGTATGTTTTTTAAATTATTAGCCTATTTTTCTTAATACATGTTTGCAGTACATAGTTATATTTATCATGGGGAGTTTGTACATGTACATGACACACCTTAATTCTTTTTTTTGGTCTCTTTCCCTGCCCATCTTTCCCATTTCCCTCCAACTCTTCATCTTCTCCATTTGATAAAGTTCTATTTTTGTTTGCTTTTCTTTTCATGATTTCATTTACATGAGAAACCTAAACATAAAAAACAAAACAAAAAGGTAATAGGAAATAGTTATTTTTCAAATCAGAAAGGGAATAAGAGTTGAAGGGGGGTGAAGAAGGAATGAAATAGGGATATTTAAAAAGAGAATCAAAGAACATAGTGTGTTCTGTTTTTAAAATACAGAGTGGGAATCTATAATCCAAAAAGATTGAAATCTGAAACCCAAACTCTTTTTCCCCAAATTTTATTACTATATGTTTATTATGTGACACATAAATATATTCATAATGGAGGAATTGATATACATACATATAATACCTTGATCATTTTTACTGTTTCCTTTTCTTCTTTTCTATCTATCCCTATATTCAGTTCTTCCTATCCTTTCGGAAAACTCTGATTCATTGATCCTTTGTGTTTTTCAGTTTCAGTTTCATTAATTTTTCACTCTGATCCAGTACCTTATCATTTACTAGTTTCAAATTTAAGTTGTTCATGTTTTTCCAACATCTTGGGATGTATCATTAAGGCATTTATTTGGAGCTGCTTTATTCTTTTTAACATGTGCATTTACTATTATAAACTTTGCCTTTCATAAATATTTTCATTGTTGTGCTTCCAATAGCATTTGATTTTAGGAACTTCAAATCTTTTTTACTGATTTCTTCTGTGATCCATTGATTATTCATTAATGTATTATCAAATCTTCACATATCTGCTAGTTTCTGGAGCATCCTTTGCTATTAATTTCTAGCTTAATTCTATTATATTAGCCCATAGAGGATGGTTTCAATTCGTTTGTATTTACTTAAGCATGCTTTATGGCATAAGATATGGTCTATTCTGGGAAAAGTTCCATGCGCTAGTAAAATGTGCATTCTGTTGTTGTTGGGTGAAATATTCCATATCTTTCTGTTAAGTCCATTTGTTCAGTGGTCTGGTTTGACTCTAATATTTCTTTGTTGATATTTTTTTGTCTGGTTGGCCTGGCCAATTGTGAGGATAGAATACTGAAGTTTTTCACTATGATTTTATTGTTTCTCTGTCCTTTTGAGTCTAGCAGTTTTTGTCTTATGAAGTTGGGTGTGTCTGCATATGGTAAACAGATGTTTAAAATTATTTTCCTGTTGAGTTGTTCCTTTTACCAATAAAGAGTGGCCATCTTTATATCTTCTGATCAGTTTGGGTTTGAAGTTCTTAGAGGTGGAATGACAACTGGTGGTCAACCCCGGATGAACGGAACCATGGTGGCGTGGAGTGTGGGAGGCCACTTGAGGATTGCTGCTGGTCATGTTAGAGGCTGCTATAAGTTGCAGCTAGGGAGCTGCTGGTTCTCCTGGGGATGTTGGTCTTTTTGGAGGAGTTGGTCATGCTGACTTTACTGATATGGCTTAGCTATTCTCTTAATTGGAGGAGCTTGGGATCTGGCTGTCACTGAGAATGGCTGTGGTACTTTTGTGGGGAGCTTTGATCTTTGCTTTGAGTGCTATTCCCTGGCTCCAGTACATATCCCTCGGGCTACAGGCACAGAGCCTTTATCCTGCTGACACAGACTTTTTAGCATCTACCACTAACCTTTGAGTCTTCTCATCATAGATCCTTGATACAGTCTTACATGAGAAGGGCCGGCGGTACAGCTCAGCGGACTAAGTGCTTGCACAACGAAGCGCGGGGACCAGGGTTCGATACCTGGCTCCGGGTGCCGCTCCGGCCCCGCCCTCGGGCTCGCTGAGCCGGCGATGGTGTCCGGGCGCCGTGGCGCGCGCCTGTAATCCCAGCCGTGGGGAGGCAGAAAGCAGGAGGATCGCTACAACCCACGTAGTGAGACCCTGCACAGAAAAAAAAAAAAAAAAAAAAAAAAGGAAAAAAAAAAAAAAAAAACCTGAATGGCAGTCTTACATGAGACATTGTCATGAGCTCCAGTTGGATTCGTGGATGGCACAGTTATGGGATCTAGGTCTTCAGCTGGACTCATGCAGGACATTGCCTTGGGATCCAGGCTCTCAGCTGGATTCTTTTGGTTTTTACTGTGTGGACAGATTTCCTGTACTATGTTTGTATTCAACTCTTTGGGTGACTATTTTAAAATAATCATATAAATCATGTGTCCTGTATTATTCCCTTTGCAAATCCTAACTACAACATCTTCTGTGTCTCAAAATACGACAGTCACCCCTGCTTCTTTGGGGTCTCTGATTGAATGGAGAATCATTTTTTCATCTTTTCACTTTCAGTCTATATGCTTTCTTGTGGATGAGCTGTGTCTCCTATAGGCTACATATGGCTGCATTTTGTTTTTTATACAAGCTGTGTCTTTTAATTAGAGAGTTGACATCAAGAGATGGTATCATAAGTTGTTTATTGCAAAATGGTTATTGAATTATTTTTCTAATATTAATTCCTTTATTTTTTCCTTTTGTGTAGTCCCCCAGCAGGATGTATATATTTCCTTGGGCTCTTTGGTGTTTATGGCCTCCCTTTTTCCATTTAAGATTCATTTTAATATTTTCTAGGGGTGAGGGAGATAGCTCAGTAGAATAAGCACTTGCCTGGCAAACATAAGGTCCTGAGTTCAATCCCCAGTACCATAAAAAAAAAAAAAAGAAAAACATTTTTTTCTACCATACTGCTTTAGTGGCAATGAATCTCATTGTAATATTTTTTTGTTGTGGAAATTTTCTCTGTCAATTTCAAAAGCTAATTTTGTAGAATAAGAATGTCTGTCTTGGCAGTTATTTTCTTTTAGGGCTTAACAAACTTACTACAAGCACTTTTAACCTTCAAACTTTGTGCTGAGAAATCCTGTTATTCTGATAGGCTTGTTTTCTGGGTTATCTACTGATTCTTGCTACACCTTTTTGTATTTTCTTTTTTATTAAACTTTTGGAATTTTGATCATGATAGGTTGTGGGTAAGTTCCTTTCTGGTTATGGCTAATTGAGGTTTTATATTTCTCTTGTACTTGGATATTGAATTCTTTCCCTAGATTTGAATTTTTTTCTACTGTAATTATAGTGAATACATTTTTTATACGTTCTGAGTTCTCTTCTAAATTTTCCTTTATTCCTGTAACTCAAATGTTGATTTTTCTGTTAAATCATATAGTAACTGTTGGATCCAGGTTGCATGGTGTATTGCCATTTTTAAGCTACTTTTAGTTTGTGATCTACCGCATTCACCTTGTCTTCTGACACTCAGTCCTCTCATTGGACAATTCTGCTATCCATGATTTCCATTGACTTTTTCA